AGAACATAGTATTCTGTGAAAAGATTAAATCTTCAATGAGCAAGTAATATATAAAATAAAGATTTAATGAAAGAAATAAAGTAAAAATCAAGAAACTCAAAATCATGTCTCTGACAAGAATTCAAGAAATCGCGGAAATAAACGAAAAGTAGTAAGTAATCTCTTTACAAAAGTGCAAGATGCAATTTTTGTTAAAAATGCTTTAAAAATACGATGAAAGTTACGTTTTATTATATTTTCTGTTCCTTTTTAATTAATAAAATTTTGAGTTCTTCTTTTCAGGTTTTATTAAAGAAAAATTTTTTTTCTATTTTGCTAATTGTGTGTATGCCTTACAAACTTTATTTGTCAAAAATAATATACTTTTTTTATAATTTTTACTGATATGTTACATGTCCAGTCATATTAATGGTAAAAACATATTTTACTTGATTCGAGGAAAGAGACTTAAAACAAATACCTTGACTTTTATCTGTTGGCTAATGGGTACATGAGAAACATATAAAATCGAAAGAAAGAACAATGCTTCTACATCGATCTGTGAACGGAGATGAAAGAGGAGCGAAAAAATGTATCACAATGTGAAACTTGGCCACGAACGACCAGGAACGCTTCAAAATAGTCGTTTGAACAAGCTTGGATGATATCCAACTTTAGTTACAAAACTTCCTGGTCTAAAAAAAAGCCAATATTTATTTCGTATCAATATCTCAGAAATTGTAGGAGCTATTATTTACACCTCGATGCACTCCTATTTCTTAATGCAACAATAATAAACCGATACATTGTTTTACGCATGCAAAATGTTTTTAAAGATATTTTCCCCATTTTTATATTAAGGAATATAAATACACAATAAATACGCTTGAGGCGTATTTATGGTTTATTTGGATTCATCGTGAGTGCAATACTCTTTACGTTTTTTACGTAGACAGCTTTTTATAGTAACAACTTTTTCCGAAAAATTTTATTGTTTTAAATATGCCCAGAATTTGTTTTGTTTATTTTTTGTGTCCAACTTATAGAACTTTTTGCAACTTTCAATAAAAATTGCCAAAAGATGAATTAACAGAAGAAAAAAAATCATTAATTCATTTGATTACATTTTACTATACGTATATAACATGTTTTTTATAACTTAAAACTTTATTTAATAAAATAAATCTATAATTGTAAATTCTCTTTAATTTAAATAATTTAGAAGATTATTTACAATTATATTTATCGAAGTCTAAGTTTTGTTATCGAATAAAGACTTTGGAACGACGTTCGACAATAGGAAATTCTTGAGTAACGGGAGAACATTAGATATTCGAATGTATTTGTATACTGTTAGTGTATGGTATATCCAGCTATTGTAATCGTATTTAGGTTGAATCCTAGACGCAGTTCGGCTCGAGACAGTATTACGAGCGCATGTATCGATTTATCAGTTGACTGATTGACGTTCTCGCTAGACAGCGCGTTGTTGTACCCCGGTGGTGTGCACCACTGTCAACACAAATTCTCGCACTCCATTAGCAACAGCAAGTCAAATGTTTGTACGCGAGCGGAAACCGCGGGAAAATGTATGCGTCGTATTATATACGGGCGTTGTCGTCGATGTTCGCGCAACGAATTCGCTTTCAGAGACTTCTCTTTAACAAGCGATTTCCAACTAGATTAAGCACCAAGATACGAATTGCAATCCCTGAAAACGGTTGTATTATTGAGATTCGACAAGATTTGATGTAAGCTCTTCTTGATGAAGAATACATACGAATAGAACGAGTTTGCTGAAATTAAGATAGATACAAATCTGAAAATAACATCGTCCGACAAAATTTGACCTTTTTTTGCAATACGAATGTGAATGATCATTTTCGACATATTTTTATCTACTAAACACGATTCCGTTGGTAAAATTTCATTAGCACGTTACAATTTTGAGAAAAATGACATTAAAGAAGTCAAAAATGGCTATTTTATTGTAGAAAATTTTCTTTTCAATTTCACTAATGCCACGTAAAAGTATCAACTTTTTTGCTATAAAATGTATTTTGAGTTCGTTTCAATATATTTCTGTTTTCGAAATATATTTATTTACATTTAACATAAAAAAAATTCCTTTTTCTAGCAACACATGTTATTTTTTAAATTAATATATTTTGAAAACAAAAAATTATATTAAAACAAATCAAAATGTATTTTAAAGATAAAAGTTAATATTTACTCAGAATTACAATAATAAAATTTAGAAAAATGTGAAACTAGTGCTACAATGTCATGATAGATCTTAAAACAATCATTATATTTTGCCTTTTTGACGATATTTTGCTCAAAATTATGACATGCTATATGTTGTTAATGAATCCGTGTTTATCAGGCAAAAATACGTTGGAAATAACTTTTACTAACATTTGTGTTGCAAAATGGTGTTGGACAGTACATTTCATCAAAATAATTTTTTATCAAAATAATTATGTAGGCAACTGAAGTATGATAAGCAATGTCGTGTAAAAAGTGTTAACATTCCATCAAACTAGTGAGCGTCCCACATAATTATTTTTATAGTCCAACAAAATTATTTTCACATCTGTATCTAGCTAAATTTATAAATACTTCAGTAAAACCGTTCATTCCAGACGGACTCTTGAGAATTTATATCAAATCATGGACGTTATATCAAATTACACATTATAAATAGAGTGAGGTAATCAAACACACAATGATTGGTATAATAATTGGAAATTTCAAAGAGCAGCTGGATCAAATTGAAGCTGGCATTGAGTTGCAAATAATATTGGTTTACATTCATTAACGAGTTTCGGTCGGCATGGAAGCAGAGAAACGTTAGGAGGCGAGGTGTAATCGAGGAATAGGCGTAGAGTAGATTATCTATACATCACACGGTCGTACCATTTGTGAAGCCTGCATTATTTAGAATAAGCAGCTTATGATGCTATAGAATCTCGGACGTGTGCCAGAAGAAGAAGCTTAATTCGTATTCGCTATATCCGTTTATTGTTTAGCGTAATCGAGTATATACATATCTCGTTAATTCTTGATATCTTCTGCTCGGCGGAGTACGAAAACTGGCACTGAAACGCATTTCAATGCAATTATCGTTGAGAATTTGAGCACCGTTAGGAAGGCGTTGCAACAAACACAGAGCGTAATAAGAAATATACCAATACTTGAAAACGATACGTAATGTATGTGAAAAAAATACAAATGCATCCATTTAAGGACGAGTTCTGTTGGAGAGTGAATGCAATTTTTTTCAATCAAAATTTGATAGATATTTTATAGCTCTTCATATTTTATTAACAACGTTGAGTATTTAAGTAATAAACCTTGTTACGATCAAATTCTATAAATTAGATTCTTTCTATACTTTTCTATCAGAAACATGTCGCTTTCTAATGGAGCTCATCGATTTTCTACTGAAAAATACTATCTCTCCATTGGCTTTCATGTCCAACTTGACAGACTTGAACAATTTGTCTTATATATATATATATATGTATATATGTTTGACAAGTATAATCTATCTTGTATCTTTGTAAATATTTTCAATATATTTGCGTTAGACGTACTAATAATGGTTGCCTAAGGCTTGAAATTTGAGTAAACATCCTCATTAGCGAGTACCATATACGAGGCCATTCATTATTTGCCTACCTTTACTCAAGCGATAAGCATCATTATTTTTTCAACTGCTCTTTATTATCCGGATTACATCGTGCTATGTACATACTGTACATAATATAATCCATACTTCCATATTTTTTTCTAACAATAACATATAATATATAATAAAAAATAATCAATTATCTTTTCATGTTGATTGACTTGTTTTCAACAGAATAATTGATCGTAATTTATTTGTTAGTAGCATAGAAAAATATTATAAAATACAAACCGTTTTTCTATACAATTTCATGTCATGAATATAAAAATTGTTCTAAACCTAATTATGTTGATATGTATTATTATTTGTTTAATTTTTTGTCTATTGTTCATTTTTTCTTATTCTAGAGGAAGCTCCCCATTAATCTTCGCTACTTTGATATATCTATAAGTTATTCTGATAAATAGGTTGTTCAACTTGCATCATGATATATTACGATAATCTCATCTACGTAATTATAATTCCTTATCATCAAAGTTTCAAACGGATGTCAGGTAACGCTTACTTCAGTAAATTGAATGGGAAACATGTCAGAAAATATATCCCACGACTGGATTATCCGCGCGTCACATTCCTATAACTCTTCGTCGCACCATTTTGAAGCACCGCTTTCGTTCAAATTTCCTGTATTATCTTAGGATGGGCCATTTTGAAATAAAGCTTACGTGTGCATTTCTGCACGATAGCTGCTATATGTGGTACCTGTTCGTTCGTATAAAATAATTCGAAATTATCACCTGCTTCTCCTTTCAAATTTTCTAATTGATATACTCATGAAACAAATGAAACAAAACTAATATTAATTGTTTAAAAAAGTATATGAGACAAAGACATAAATATATGTATATAGAGTATTATAAAATATTCAAAATATCTTTTGTAGATATGAACAGAAATTGGATAATATAATTCTTTGTTGACTTATTGCAGCAATGAGTAGAAGCAAATGAGCAAAAACTTGCAATTTGGACAAGATTAATTTTTTTTAATCTAGTGATTTTACGCATCGATTAAGAATTATGTACTCACAATCAGTTTAATGAATGCTTACCTTATAAGACTTGATGTCCTTCTTATGAACTATTTATACACACATGCTATATGTATATAGTTCAAAATATGTATACAGGTTGATATAAGAATCTTTGAACAAGTACTTCTAATTTTCAAATACTTATTATATATCAACGAATTAATATCATTGTTCACGCTATAGAAACTTTTTGGTTCAGTAAATGCTTCGCATTTACTTCGCAAATAATAGAAAAACGAATAAAAATTCTGTAGCCCCTTTACTTACATATATGATATATACGTCTATACGTACCGTCGTAAGTAGAGTACGCGACCAAGATATCTGCATAGGCGGGGATGCTGTATTTGAATGTATTACTCATACTATCTGTCGCATGAAAAAATGCCACTCCTCCGTCCAATTGGTTGCCGCGACATGCCTGCGGAAAAGAAAAATGCTCACGTTAGCAACGGAACTAAATTTTCTCGGCACGTAAAAGATGCATGGACCCGCGACAGTGTGAGATTTCCTTTGTGCAAAAATGTCCAGCAAATTGTTTAAAATGCTTCAACGTGACATCATAATCCGATTCGCGAGATTATTAAAACGCTCACGAAACGAGAGACGTGCAATACCTACGTGTACGGCCGCAATCGCCGAACAATATAGGTTCGAATTTTGGCTATACGTTAATACAATTCTTTATAATGTCACTTTTATATGTACATATGTATATAATGTACTCACGTACGCACATATATAAAAATATATATACAATCTAATAGCTTGTATTTATATCTTTTGTGCATTCTAGATTCTCGTTGCGTTTAACACATAAAAATCGATTTGCAGCGTGAGCTGTGTGTTATCGGCTATTCAATTACATAAACATGAAACTACATAGACATGAAAAAGAATTGCAATGGCACAGATATTATAAAACACGAGATAAAACATTTAGCTCTCCGATAGCGATATTTAATCCATGGTCGTAATATTATCAACAAAAATATCGAAACATAACATTCTGTTACATTATCAACTTCGATATCCCTTGTTCCGACTTTTGAATCTCATGTTACTTTCAATTCATATTATTTTCAATCGCATATCTACTAGTAATAGCAATTAATCCTTCTCTCGACAATTTGTTTTTTTTAAACACGGAGTAAGTTGTTTATGGAACGTTGCGGTTTTTCCAATATTTTTACATGATACGTATAATGTGTTTAAATTAATTAATAAATTTTTAATAATATAGATTTATTTAATTATTTTAGATTTAAATAACTGATACATATATTTTTTGGTATTTTAATAATAATTATTATCAAATTAATGTCAGCGGCTTCAGAAAAATTGCTAAGTAGCAGTTTCTGAATTTAGTAGATTTATTTCTTCTGATAAAAATTGTGTATCTTATAATAAGAAGGCACAATGGCTGTTTGATATATTAAAGAGCTAAATGCTCAATGGCCAACAGCCAAGTGCAGCAATTGCTTTTCTTTGGAAAGGTAAACTCGTAATAGAATGTACGAGACAATTACACGCAGATCTATCGATGTTTACAGCGTCGTTAACGAAAGACGAGCTGCTGGAACGGAAGCGCAACAAGAAATATGGAAGCTACTTACTTTGAGGCTACCGTGGTTGCACACAGAGCTTCCAAGCGTACAGAAAATGGCGTTAATTTCGATAGATAAACGCGACCAGAATTTGTGCGTCTGTGCAATTCACATTGCTCGAAAATTACAATAATCTCATCTGCGTATAATTCCTACTTTATAACCCTCTCCACATCATGTTGTTAAAATTTCAAATGGATATCGGTCAAATCATTGATCGGGCAATTCGCAATTGATAAGCCGTGCTTACATAGATACGAATTAGTTATATATTTACATATTGAGAGGACACGTGTCTGGATTTGCTCTTGAGATAATTAACATTCTCGATCAACCTTTTGGTATGAATCTGAGATTGTAATTGAGTCTTGTGTGAATTATTAATCGCTAGGGTCCTTAAATGCAAGCGCGCATTCGAGACACGAAATCAAATTATTAATCATTTCGATCGTTACGAGCGCTAACTTTATCGCACTCATTTATCCCCGTCGCTCTTTATCTTTGGGATCATCGATCCTCTAACTCTATTTGGGACGGAAGCAGTAATTTCGAAAGATATCCGGCAAGTTGGCCTTCCGATCCTTTTTCTTTCATGGCAAACTAAATTAGAATCATTGTCGGAATAGTTGCTTTTGATTGATCATCCTTGTACAATCTTCACAATTGTTTTGCGATTAATATATTAATAAATGATTTTTAATGATCGAAAGCTATATAAGTTAGTCAATCATTATATATAGTTAACTGCTTTCAATATTTTAAGTTTTAGAATTGTATTGTTTTAATTTGAATTTATATTTCAATTTAAAAATCGAAGTCAGGAACAATTTCTCGTTTTTCTCTAATAAAAATCAGGGAAATTAGGAAAATATTAGGGAAATTGAAAACGGCCAGGAAAATTAGAGAATTTTACAAAATTTACTAGAAAATTAAACTTTTTGGTTTTAATAAATTTAATATGCATATATCACAGCGTAATTTAGAAATATTGCCAACTTAAAAATTAAATGCAGCAGTATCAGAGTAACATTAATAGTAATTACATTGCTATGTTAAATTGCACTCTCAACAAAATATTTGATTCGCTTCCAAATCAGGACGTAAAAGCAAAATATTTTTTAATATTTTTGAAATGAAAAATTAAGGAAAATTATGAATTTTTTTGAAAATCGGGGAAATATTATGGAATTTTAGGATGAGAAATTTGTGATAACCTCGGTTATGCTTCAATCATTCATAAACGAATTCAGAGAGTTGTTGATCAAACTCTGAATTAATTTTTAAATGATTGGAGCGCAACTGTCAGCAATTTTGCGATGATGTGAATAAAAAAAAACTTTATTTTAATACACTGATATCTTTTTGAATGTAACATCATTGTTATAATAATTTTCGGTTTTCCTGAAAAAGAAGTACTTTGAAAAGAAAATAGAAATGAAACAAACCTCAAACAATCGCGAAAAAAAGTTGTATTCTCCTTTATAGTCTATATATCTCGCAATGAAATAGTACTACTTACATCTCGGTTTTTTCCATATCATTTGAATATATTGTCACGCGCGAGTATAAGACGATAATAACGTACCCAAAGAAGAATGCGTGTGTTTCCACGTTTTCGCCCTGTTTAAAATATTTAAGCATATTCGGCCGACTCAACATATGCACATCGAGCGACATGGAAAGCGAGCATGACGGAAATACTCGCGGGCAAAAAAGGAACACGGAGAAAAAACAAAGGGAGAAAAAAAATAACAAATGTATAGAATATTGCGCGACACGAATAGCCCCGCTCGGTACTTTTTAATTCGGCCAGTGGCGAAATCCCCGAAACGATGCACGCGCTCGCATTACTTTGGGAATTATGCAAATAATGGTTTTTGCCGTTGTTCTCTTTCTCCGGCAAGGATGGACGGGGAGTAATCTTAATTACTGCAGCGTTTCTAGCGCGCGAACAGTTTCCATTACATCGCAGAATGCACATATTTCATTGGCTGTGCCCGCTAAAAACCCGACGGTGCACTAATGTACGCGAGCCCGCAAATCCCTCGGAGATCGTCGTGAGGCAGATAAATGGGGAGTGTCTCTAAATGGAAAACGATCTCGGTAGGATTATGCTCGGGGAAAGAATTAGATCTAGCGTGGCATTGTTGTCGGAATTATAACTCGGCTGCGTCAACCTGATCGTTTTTGAAACCCGGACCATCGTCGCAATTATACGTCATTTCCGTTGCAGCGCGAAAGGAATGCGGTTGTCCTATTTACAGTTGACTCCCTCTTTCTGTAACTCGCGGAACGGTCATCCATTTCAGTATCATCAGTTTTGACGTCATCTATTCCCATCCATTAGAACGTAAGTAATTACAGAAATTCAGAAGGAAACTTTGCCTCTGCAGTCTTAATGAAAATACGCGAATAATGGATACCAATAACGGTTATGTCTATATTATGACTTGTTTCTTGAAGAAATAGAGAGAAACGTAAGTTAAAATCATCAAAATATTTCCCGTTTTTAAATAGTGAGTCCAATTAAAATTAAAAATTAAATAGGTCAAATAATTAGTTTCAAATACTTGTTATTAATTATAAACTATGTATATACATATATAATTTAAATTGCATTTCTCCAATAAACTATATATTGTAGAATAAAATTATATATATGTATATATAAATAGTGACAGTTCTCGAACACTCTGTATATCAATTCTTGCAAAATCATATATGTAACAGCTTTTTTCTTTTCCGATCAGGATAGCCAACATGGATATCGCTTTTGCTGTTACAAGCACGCTGGATGTACAATCGCATTTAACTAAATTTATATCTGCCGCGCAAGAATATTGTATATCAAAACCGACCGAAAAATGTAATAATCTTTTTTTTCCGCTCTCTCGTTTTGTTCGTCTCTCTAACGTGATTAAAATACGAGCGGATTTTTGCAAAACGTAATGTGAACAATGTATAAAAATCATAGAAATAGTTCCACTCGCGGTCGCGTTCTTCATCATTGTCCCAAATAAATTATCCAAACATAATTTAACTTTAAAGAATGAAAGATTTCATTTTTTAGTTTCATATAGTTTCTCCTTAAGTAGAATTTATTATAATCCAATGTTTTATTGTATTTCTCTCTCTCTCTCTCTCTCTCTCTCTCTCTCTCTCTTGTCTCAAAATATAACTGTTTCACCACTATTATAATGAGTTCTATAGCAAAAAAGTCACATTAATATTACAAAAATGTCAAAAATATTCGTGGCATGAGAATGCCGCTTTATTATAGGTGTGATATCGCTATGACATCATTATGCAGTTGTGATAAAAAATGCAGCTGTGATAAAAGTTGAACCTGACTGTGACACTGCTATGTATACATAGATGATAATATGATGTTACTGTATTTTTTTTATAATTTCATCTTAGTGTCATCACAATTTATCCGTGACTGTTATGAGTCTATTGTGAGACGTACATGTGACATTTTTTTACTATGTAGGGATTTTTCAGCCCTATAAAATTAAATGTGCATCATATTTTGAATCACGCATGAAAATATTCAAATCGCAATATATTTTTATAAATTTAAATAATATAAATATAAAAAAAGTTGTAATAAAAATACTTGTTAGAAGAAAGAAGATCTGGATATCTTTACGAATCATCTCGTCAAAGACAAACCATATAGAAAAGGGAAGACATCCAAATACTGAAATACAAGAACCACATCTATCGGAAAACCCAATTAACTTCAACAACAGGCCATACAATATCTTATATTAACTCATAAATCACTTCACATGATCCGTATAAATCTTTCGCGAATTACTCAGCATGTAACACTGCTTAGACGGTTCACTTGAGATGATCCATCACTTGGGCGATCGTTTGGACTGAACGAAAGTGGAAAGTGGCTTCCTTCTTTATGCGCAGAATCGCTCGTTGTTCGTCGAACACACGGATAGCGTTGTATAATTCACCCACGCGATTCTTGTGTATACAATGAATATCTATTAGATATGCGTACCTGAATGAAGAACAGCTTTGGTTTGCCGGCTAAGCTGGAGCATTGATCGCCCGTGAAGGGACTCCATAGAACATCGACTGGATACATGCTGTCGACCGAATGCAATAGACCCGATTCGCCGTGTGACATTGCGACCACGATCAGGCAGTCGGCATCCGTGTGGTCTTCCGCAGCGGCTTTAATGAAAGGATTAATTAATTCCTCGCGGTAGCCGCTAATAGTCGTCGGACGCGGTCTGGCCTAATAGTCTGTGCACAAACAAACTGTTCCGAGGTGAGATTGTGCAGATACCGTTCGCTACATAACGCGAATTTCCTCCGGCGGGTCGAAACGATGCGAAACGGCAGTACGTGCCAGCTTCCGGGTTTGCGCGTCGCGATATTAAGGACTTAAATGAAATTTCCTCGAAGTAAAATTGTACGAAGTAATTTATTATTAAGACACTGTAAACAAGTTGTTGCCGTGAATCATAGACACATTTAAGAATTATAGGTATCCTTTTACAATGAATATTGAAATGTAAATAGTTTTTTCTAAATTGTTACATGGAAAAACAGAGAAAACTAAACATTTTATTTAGATATCGTATTGTTATAAGTGAAATGCCTTCCTTTATTAAAAATAGATGAAAAAACAGTAAAACTTATCTTAGCAATCATAAAACGAATTGCTCTTGTGGAATAGAGTAGATTATACGATCCATTACGTTTTTATAGAAAATATGAAAATAATCGATTTTCTATTCGGTTAAATTCGCTTTACCAATTTTTGAATGCGTTTAACATATTTTTGTACAGGATATTAATTGCTAATGTGAGCATAAATGTTTACTTTATAATCGCAATTTTTGTGGCAATTTTTTTGTCTTACACACGTGAAATAAAAATTTTTGTCACATTTAAGATTATTATCTTCATAATCTTTAAGAATAAGTTTTAATGAAACGGTAAAATATTGGTCTTTTCGGAAAAATAACTGTTTATTAAATAGAAACGTAAGTTATCGTAAAGGTTTTTAAAAGATTGATCAATTTCGCGACTAGATTCTCAAGAGACTATTTGTCACAATACACTACGATGTTTACAGACAGCAGGTTGAGTATAGCGTTGTGATTGTTATTTTATCACAGCGTAAACTGTGAAAAAGGAACAATTTTTTTCTTTTTCCATATTGTCGAGGAAGGAAAAACCTACGTACAAACAATAACAAATTTGGTGGATACGTGTAAAAAGTCCTTTTTACGCTATGTTTGTATATTACATTACTTTTTTCCCTCGAATGTATAATATTTTTAGATATATTTTTTTTGTGTATTGATTTTTTCTGTATCTTTTTCGTTTATTCAATTTTGTTGCGCCGATTCTTTTTTCGTAGTTATTTGCTTGATTTTTTTTATCGTAATGGGATTCTTTTTAACGGTGCATTTTACTCCATTTTTTTATTATTACAATTAAATTTTATGTATGATTTTGTGCGTTGTAGTTCCGAATATTATAACAGAATTATAAATACGCAAATATCGCCTAATAAAATAAAATTTTACAATATAAACAGAGTGCATTAAAAGGTAATACAACGTTTACGTTTATGCTTCTTCCATGCTCTGTCATTACGTTTTATATAGAATGTTTTAAATATATAAAAAACTATAAAATATATTTAGAGCATTATATTTTATTCACAGAAACTTTACTCTTTCTTCATTTTTCTGAAAATTTAAGAATTTGCCAAAGAAAAAATTCAAGGTATACATACTCTCTTCTGCCGTACGTACTCTTTCCTTTTCTTTTTGTTACGTTTCTCACAAAACTTGTAAATATATATTATTTGCTTCTCTTTCTCCGTTGAAAACTAGTAAATGAAATTTATAAATGAAATTATTGAACATATTTTGATAACAATTCTTTTCTCAACTTTAATGCAAAACTTTGCCCTTATTTTTTATCGGCAAAAAATTGCCGATGCATTGCCTGGGTCTTATCTTGTTTCTTCTCGGGAAGCATTGATCTTTGTTTCCGAGTCAAAACGTTATGCTCAACGACGGTCGATAATCCAATTAATCCGCACTGCCTCGGTCCGGCAATCCTGCGGCACTAACGTAATTAAGGAGTTGGATATAAATCGCATAAAGAGGGCACGGGACGGCAACTGAAAAATCGACGCGCGGCGTATTCAGCTGGCAAGTTATGCATGATGTGCGGACGAGAAAATGTTTCGCAAAAAACTTTGCGTATTACGTGAAACGACGTTGCTGTTCGCGCTCTGTTTCCTCAGAGGGACGCGTTTCCCTCTGAGTTTACCGTGAACCGTAATGGAAATTTACTCTGACTCCTTTCGATCTCGTTTGAAGAAAAAGAAAGAATCTTATATCACGTGAAAAAATCATTATACTACCATCTTGCACATGTAATGATCACGTAATTATCATTAGCTTAATGTCGCTAGATATAAAAAAATAATCAAGTAAAATGTCTTTTATAATAGGTAATTATCTGATATTATCTCGCGGCCGTAGCGTTGTTTCCTTTATGTTCGTTAACCACCCTCTAGCTTTTATTACTTATTTTTACTTGAATAAAGGAAAAGTTTACTATAAACTGGTCGATGAACCTCAGCGATACTACATATATATTTGAATTTATACATATAGATATTTCTTGTATTTCTCTCTTCAACTATTTTTATCATTCTTAACGCGCTGCCTTTAGAAAGTAAAGATCGGTTATTGAGACGCCAGAATTACAAGAAAATACGCAATAAAAATTGATGGTACTTTTATGAAAAATTATTCAAAATTTAATTAACTAGATTTATGATATAGTAATAGAAAATGACGAAGAACGTTCAAACTATTTGAAAAAGGCCATAAAAACAATACATGGATAAAAAAGTAACAATTTTGTTGCTCCATTGAACTTCATTCGCTAGCATCATCTATCAAAAGCCGTATCCATGAACAAACACGAGCTACGAACGTTCTCTCTTGTTTTGAGTCCGTCATAATTCAAGGTGGCCCCGACGTGTAGATATCGCCGTCGTTCGAGCGAAGTATAAATCGCCCGAAGTGCAGTCGGCGCGTTGTAAATTCAGCTTGGCGGTGTATGCTGCACCGATACACGGGCATTTAACAACTCGATGAAGCGCTTGCTAATAATATTCTAGCAAAATATTCTCTTCCGATGAAGGCGTAGGCGATGGCTTATTCGCGTTCGATCGATATAGCCGCAACGCGCGCTATAAATTCGAAAGTTTAATACCGGCATTGGCTGATAGTTCTCGGCGAGTGGAACCAGAAATGTACGGGATGAACTGGATATCACGTATCTTTCTCTCCACCAGAGAATACCAGGGGTCAAACTACGGAAGAGTACTCCGTTTGTTTCGATATCGAAACATAAATAGAGTGAATGAACTCGAGAGAGAAAGAGAGAGAGAGAGAGAGAGAGAGAGAGAGAAGAAATATTTTATAAAAAGTTATTTGGACAAAGTTTTGTAATCTTTACGGCTAATAATTTGTTGATACTGCGGATATTACATATTAAAGAGTATCGACAGAAGTTTACGCGCCGAGAGCCGAGATATTTAAAGGCGACAGGCAGAGAGTCGCGTCATCCATTTAGACTTTTGATGAGGAAAATTCAGTGTTGGAGTAATCTGTATTCAAGGGAAGGTTCACGATGCTGTGCAGCTCGAGAAGATTGGCGAGCATAGTCGGTGAGATAGGTGCGAAACACTCGCGCGGAATATGCGAATAGCGGCGACGTCATTTCTTCATGTTATATAAGATTAGAGAAGGCATGAATATTATGTGAATTATAATAAGAGATGCGGATAATTGTGATGTATTTGCGAGTGCTTGCAGTCACGTAAGTTTTTCGAGAAATGCAATAGAATTGCACGGTTGACATGTTTTCTGATGATATCTACGTTTCTCGATTCCATTTTGATGTGAAGAATAGAATTTACTGACAGTTCACGTCACGAGCTTTATAAAAATTTTTTTAATGCGGGTTGAAGACCTGTATGTGTTCTACACTTAGCTACTTTTGTAGATAATGATAGAATGCATTAAATTATCCAATTTATTATTGTGCTGCATTTTATTTTTAATTTCTTTATAATCAATTTAAAATTAATTTTAATTAAACTAATTAAGGTTAATATTATATCTCCAAGAAATTGAGTTTATTAAATCTAGCTTTTATCCAATTTCATAATTAACAAGCATAATTAATAATTTATTTCTTTAAAATGTAAAAAATTGTTCCATTTTATATTTACAATTGCAAACGTATTTTAATAAATATTATTATTATTTTAATAAATATATATTAATTCTTTATATCAAATCTTATCTATGTAAATAAGTTTTTGAAATAATAATTTATTTTCATTATATGAATTATATATTTTTTACTAAAAAGTTATCTGTTATGTTGTTTTGCGTGATACCTATATTTAGATTGTTATTATATTTTTTTAACT